TCTCCATGCTCATCTCAGGAGCCACGCATAAATGGAGAGCAGAAGCCAGACAAGCGTTAACTCACAAGCTCTTAAATATCCACAAAGCAAATGTTTGATGATGAAATTCTGATGATGAAGTAAGAATTGTCGTACATCAATCCATTGCCAATCACATCAGCATACATAACATTTTGTCACTTCACATATTACTTCTTCACAAGATCACAATGCGAGAAGATAATGAAAACCGTTCATATAATGCTGAGATATTTGCAAAACTCCGGGCCGCAGGTGTATGCGGTGGAGAACGAACGCCCGCTATTGTCCTTTCCGGGAAGTAGCGCACTTCACCACCACACCATCCGGGTCTTTCGTTTTGCCTGTCTCTCAGCTAGTTCTATTGATCTTTTGCCATCAGCGATCACCCGTCAACGGGACTGATCTGGGGAGCCCAAATCGGCATTGAACCCAGTTAAGCTGAGGCTTAGTTATAATCACAATCTTAACCCTTTTATTCACTGCCTTTTTCTTTCCCGTTAACGGGTGATTGCTGATGGCAAAAGATCAATAGAACTAGCTGAGAGACAGGCAAAACGAAGGACCCGGATGGTGTGGTGGTGAAGTGCGCTACTCCCCGGAAAGGACAATAGCGCGCGTTCGTTCCCCACCGCATACACCTGCGGCCCGCAGTTTTGCAAATATCTCAGCATTACATATGAGTTATATTTCGCAACATACCCTGCCATTAAAAAGGAGAAAAAGGCAGTAAATAAAAGGGTTAAGATTGTGAAAATCGTTCAGTTGAGCATTTTCTCATAGCCCTACCTTTCATGGGAATTCAGCCTTTGGAAAGAGAGAAGTTAGTTGATGGAATAACCAAATACTGCGCTATTCATGGAGATTCAGAACGCCCTTGCAAACAGATGATGGTATCCAGTCGACATCTCTGTGATACTGCGGCTCTATACTGGACCATCAGAGTATAACAGCAATGATTGAATTCACGCGCGAACTGAAAAACAATTCCTGCTACAACTCATTCCAGAGGAAAAGGCAAGTAATCTATGACAGACCTTGATGGAATCTTTTTCCCACATGAATAGCCACGGAAGAGAACTTGAGGACAAACAATAGACTACCTGAGAAATGGACCTAAAATTGTTCTACTTCTAGTCACCGTCCATTCTTTTCCATGGGAGGCTATTATGTGAAATACAATGAAAAGAATGCTGAGATACGAGCAGAACTCAGAGCCTCAGCTGCGCTTCGACCTTGCCATCACCTTTTCCGGAGATTCGCTTGTTACGCGCTACACCAATGAAGACGTTTGCTTGGAATTGAAAACTGTGCCAACACTGTTTAACTACAAGCTGCGTTTCCGAACTTATTAATCGAACTCCTCAAATTGACACTGTTGCGAGATGAACTTCCACGACAAGTCGCCAAGTTGACAAGCAGAAATACACAACCACTACTCGTGTAGTTTTCAAAACACCGCTCGATAGTATCATTAAACAACGACTAACAGAAAAACAAAAACATATTAGTGATAGGAAAGGGGTAGCAAGCAAGGATCATTCTTCCGCTGTGCTGGAGAATGAAGCACAAGGAACTCGGTGAGTGATTCTTTTCACCTAGTCATCACAGTGGTCACTTTACAGTAATGTTTCGCGGTTTTCCGCTGAAATTTCGATATGATGAGTAGTAGAGTACGAATAGATCTAGATGTAAACTAAAAATTCAAGCAAGACGGTACTTTATCAGATTAAACGGACGCACTTGGTCTAAGTCACACACAATTCATGAAGGCATGGAACATCTAAATTTCTTTAAACCATTTACAAGTACCAAAGTAACCTTTGTTCTAGACAAAGGGAAACATCCCAGCGTACCAGAAGATAACAAGAATGGGCATGCCAGTCAAGGTAAGTGACTAAAAGAACCGTTTGTTAGAAGCTAGGAAAACAAACATTTGAAAAATACCATTTCGACTTAATGTAATCCCACTCGAATCGTGAAAGAAATGACGAAACACCCTCAATAAATCCAACGCAAATATGATTGATAAAGATGGTAACGCTATACTACAGTTATTTCCTACTATGTGTTAATTTTTGGGATCACATACAGTCGAATGAAGAGATATTGAACTGCAATGTAGAACCGATTCGAATCATAGCATCTTTGACGACAGTGACGTTGCTGAGCCTCCCAAAAGTTTACCGCCTCATCGTGGCTGGAAGATGTTCCTGGGTGTCAGACTTCGCCGTACAGCGGGAGAATCCATCCCTCCGGCAGAGTCTCCCAAACTGAGCAGCCCGGCGTTTCCACCACGGAGACCAGCTAAGACTAAACCGACGCCAGGATCCACCATCGTCCTAGTATAAATTAGTCGCATGGTGGTAAATCTTCCTATGATCCACAAGCGCGGAGATTGCTTGTGGTGGTGACAACCTGGAGCAGACTTTGGCCAGGCCGACCTCGGGACCTCAGGGAAGCGCTAGAGCTAAACCAGCAAAACTCCGAAAAGTGGAAAAGGTGCTGGAGACCACACAACCGGTGAGAACAGGCCGCCTAATTGTCCAAATTAGTAAGTGATCTTCTGGAAGAGAGTAACAGTAGAATCGAAACCGAACAAATTTGAGGAAGAACTTCCATAGCAGAAATTGCTCATGTGCTTGGAAACGGGAATACAGATAATGAGAAAATTCTGGTATATTCAAGAAAAAGAGCTCAATCATTATTGCTACACAATCCCAATTGTTGAAAGTAATTCTACAAAGCTATGCAAAAGTTCCAATGTTAACTTTTTATTTACTGCCTATTACAATTCTTCATGGCAGAGTATTACGTGTGAAGCAACCAGAATGATGCTGAGATATATGCAAAACTCTGGATCGCAGGTGTCTGTGGTGGGGAATAAATGCGCTATCACCCTTTCCGGGGACCCGCATGATGCGGTAGTAAACGCATTAGCCTCAGAAAAGAGTAAAAGCGCGTTCGTTCCTCACCGCAGACACCTGCGGTCCGGAGTTTTGCAAATATTTCAGCATCATTGTAGTTATAGCAATCCACCTACTTCATATTACTTTCACGACAATGAAAAAACAACCGTGTCGTCGAACCGTCCATTTTTTGTATTAGTTGCTGAATGTAGGAAATTTAACAATTGGAGAGCTGATCTTGTTGACAAAAAGGAGCAGGAAAACCCGAAGCTAACAAATTCTGACGGCAGACTGTTGTGAAAAAAACACATGGCACACTTATACATTTAACAATGTGTGTGCATGTGCATATGTGTGTATGTATGTGTGTGTGCATGTGTATGCGCACGCATGTATGCACGAGTGTTCGCGCATACGTGCGCACGTGTGTGTAATGAATGATTAGGATGTATATATCCAACTTCTGAACCTCTAACGTATGAATGTATAAATGTATGAGTGTATCTATGCAAGTATGTGTAGGTGAACTGTCTTGCAATGGTAAGTGATTGTGATAACGTTCTATAATAACTTCCATTATAACAAGTGAATACTTAAATTATTGAAAGGGCGAAACAGAAAGTAGAGGGATAAATGAATAGCAGAACAAGTCCCATTGTGATATTTTTGACGTTGACGGCTCTTGTGAATTTCGTAGTATTGAACTTATTTCTCTCCAAGCCATAACAAATCAATATTCTTGTACAAAATCAATTGTAAAAAAAACCAGTTCAATGTTTAGCACAAAAACAACTAACGAAATCGAAAACACGTAAAGGAGTTTCAAAAGGTAAGTCAATCAATAAGCTCATTCTTGTTAAACCACCAGAGGATTTCACAAGTAAAACAAATTTCAGGTCCTCAATCCCTCATCACTATCAAACCCACTTTAATTTAGCAAATACTTGATACTTGATACTTGAACGGCCCGTCCTCACTAGTTGTGAGGGCACCAGCATAATCACCATTTTTCGGAGATTTTCTGATTAAGCCATTGTGGTTCTGTGGAATCCCGAACACAACCTGGCCAAAGGCTGTCCCATGTCGTCGCCACGACAGGCAGTCGTAGCCGTCGTGGATTAGAGGGAGATTTGCCACTTCGCGACTTTGATACCAAGACGGTGGCAGATCCTGGTATTGGTTTACTCTTAGCTAGGCTTCCTGATGGGAACGCCGGACTCCTTCTCAGCTTAGGAGACACTGCAGGAGGACGAATCACCCCGCTGTACATCGCAGTCCAACACCCAGGAACACCTCCCAGCCACGATGAGGCGGTAAACCATTGGAAGATATTTGGAGGATTTAAAATTACCATTTAGCAAATGCTAGGAAAAAATCACACGGGGTTTAAAGGCCTTTCATTTAAAAAAAAAACAGCTCTTTTCGTTACCGATAGGGTTACCTGAGGGCCAAACTGCAATATGCGACAGTAAATGACCAGCGCGTTCACTCGCATCCAGTTAAAATGTTCAACTTCTCTAAGAAGCCAAAAACTCAGCTATAACAAGACCACCGTATTCTGTCTCAGCTACAATGCCTTAACAGTTACAAAAGAAACTCTAACTATTTTCCCTTAGAAGCAAGTACTGGCAGACATATCGTTATGTGAAAAAGGAAAGGTAGCAAAATTCCAATGATCTTCGACGAACGGTCACTATTGACCACATAGTTGTTAACATTTTCAGAACCTGCTCAATCAAATAAAGACCATGCAAAAAATTTGAAACAAAACGGTATGTGAGAGTTCGCAGTTGTATTCTAACTATATTTACATTTAGTGAAACTGGACAACTTCTTAAATCTAGCGCTACTGTAGAATTTCTCATGCTGTATCACTCTGCTCTGCCGTGATGGCTAAAGCAGACCCACAAAGAAAAGATAGAAAACATTATGGAATACCCACGACCGACTTTCTTTTAACTTCGGCATTGATTGATAATTCGATATTTTTCTTCAATAAGCAGACACGAGGTTGTTATTATAGGATTTACTAGGATACAATTAGGATTTATTAGGAGGTCGAACGACTCCGCAATGCAAGCCATCCGTGAGCTTCTTGAGAAACACGAAGGAGCAATTAACATGTATGGCTTTTCGATTCAGCAGCTTATGGTCCTCCTAAAGGTCTGTTTAAACTGCTCGATCTTCAGATGGTCCAGGAAATATTACGCACAAATTAGAGGGTTGGCAATGGGACAGCGACTAGCACCAACCCTTGCCGTTGCCTTTATGTATAAAGTGGACCCACCAGTAATCGATCTCAAGGCGTTACTCTACTGTAGGTATATAGATGATTGTTTTGTCATCTGCTCCACACAAGAGGAGATGGACAAATGCTTTGAGTTATTGAACGACCAGTCAGAGTACGAGAAATTCACCCGTGAGAAACTGAAAGAAAACAATCTCAAAACGGCTAAAACACAAAATGGTATCGAAAGCAAAGCAGTAAGATGGTACTGGTTCATTACCTCTCCTCTAATCCCTCACACACTAAAAGAGCGCTTATAAGAAATATGTTTCGAACTGCTGACAGCGTGTGCACAGGTAGAGATCAAAGGGAAGAATCCTCGAAACTGGGGCACCAAACAGCCATTTCAAATGGTTACGAAACTGGGCATAGGCATAGAGGAAAACCCACGCCCCACAGCGATAGTTCTAGCGAAAACAAGGTTCCGTTCCTCTTGCCCTTTATTTCAAACGAAATAAACGCAGCTATAAAAGGTTGCTTAATAAGGGGCGGTCTAGAGAATTCCGTAAGAGTGATAGAAATACCATCCGACACTCTACGACGCCATCTAGTTCGCAACCGCCTATATGACCGCCTATGCATAACGAAAAACTGCATAATTTGCGCTAACGGTAGAGACAGTGATTGCATGAGTTCGAGTACAGTCTATCTGATCTCTTGTAAAGCGTGCGAGGAGAATACGTTGGCGAAACGGGTTGTCCACTCGGTGTCCATATAAAGGAACACCTACTCGGCAAACGTAAATCAAATACTCCACTAGGCACGCATAGGACGCAGAGACATAACGGAGAAGATTATGAACTAGGGGTTACGAACCTCGCGCAGGAATCGAGAACACAAACGAGCAGAACTCTCGAGGCGTTCTGTTCCAGAAATGCGAAAATGAACCACAAAGAGGAGTGCCTTATCGTCACACGTGACCTGGCACCGTACCTCAGACTAATCCAATGACCTGACACAGGCACAGTCCTCTCCCATATATTACTCTGTGCGGCTGCTATCCACCAACTAACTTAAATACTTACAACAAATAAACAGTAGGTGTTTAAATGAAGCTGTTTCTTATGTGAATACAAATTTATTTGTTAAGTTTTATTTGCTAAGGTTATGAAAATGTTTGGCTGAGTAGATCGCATCTCAATTTGACCTTTCCAGACTCTGAAGAAAGCGAAACCGCCGAAACTTCAGCTATTGTATCCTAATAAATTTTATAATAACAACCTCGTGTCTGCTTATTGAAGAAAAACATTGCGTTATGGAATATATTAAAAAACAGTATTTCACTTCAAATGTCATCTACCGTTAAGAATGCATTTTAAAAACCATTTAAAATGGACACTTTCAGCAACAAAATCGAAAAAGCAAACGTCCACGAAACAACCGAATGTAGAATGTGGTAAGGATTGGTTATACTGTAGATTGTTGCCAATGAGTGGAGTCTTCAGGATACAAAACATTCTTGCAATTGCAGGGGATGAAGTGCAAAGCTCTCTAACCAAAGTGGATCTGATACCTAGTAAAAGCGTATGTCCTGCCACCGTTTTTCTATAGCTCAAATTCTTCAACGAAAAATTTGAGCTATAGAAAAACAAAACTAAATTTCGGAGCTATTTTCATAAACTTTTCACTTGTTTTCCTTATTCCTGGCTTCTTTGCACAGGACATAGGTATTAGTTCAGTATTTAGGTCACTTTCGTTCCTAATGAAAAACGTCAGCAGACATACTTGGTCATTCGAAATGGATCAAACGAACCAGTGTTGTTCAAATTAAAGTCGACCAGACCCGGTGTCTATAAAACTAAGCCAGTGTACGGTGCCGTTTCAGCTGGAGAAAAGGTACTTCGTAGGGAGCGTATATTAGTCTCCTATCCTAGTTTTTGCCACACTTAATTTCCTATCATAAGCAGCATGAGCTGTATATGATTCGTATGATTCACGATCTGTTACTACCCTCAGACTCAGACGGCACTCCCTTCTCATCGAGATCAAATTTTTGCGCTTTGGTACAGAACGTAACGTATCGCTGCGTGTTGTGCTTACAGATACAGACAAACTTGTCCCAATAAGGCTTTTATAAACTACAATGTGCAGAGGATTGATTTCTTCGTACGGTAATGCGTACAATATCAACATAGAGAAGCTTTTGATTTATTTCAAAGTGTATCACGGAAGACCATCCTACGCGACGACCAAAACGTCCAGAAAAAATATGATTCATCATCACTTGTACCATCTCGAATGTATCGAACCATAGCCATCCTTGTGATCTCCGACATACATGTCATAAAAAAAGGATAAGTGATAAAGCTTTCGGCGTTGGTCAATCCCTGAGGGATGCGCCATGCATTCGACTTCATTAAGCAGCGTTTGAAGGTGATTGAATTCATATTTGGTCTTTACAATGACTCACGGTGGCCTGCCGATGAATCGAGCCAGCGCGCCCAACCTCCCAGACATGTCCGGAACCAATGTGCCGACCCCGGAGAGATGGAAGCCTTTGTGAGCCCTGGGTGCTGGGATCAATTCCGCGTGTGTGTTGCAAGGCGCCTCTAACCATTGCGCCACACGCGCCTTACAGATTTCATATATGGTAGAAACGTAACCGGAAGTTTAGTTTCTGAATAATCAATAGTAAATAAAAGACTTAACACTACAGCCGTCATCATGACGTTTCCAGTTCGCGGTTCGATTGGTTTTCACAGGAATTAAGGTTGGACTAAGGATTCCGACAAACGACAGGTCGTCACATAGTGTGCCGTTTGCCGGCTTGTTTTTTCGTTTAAACTTATGACAAAGAAAAGAAAATCGAGGTCATTTTTAGGTTCACCGTTGTTCTAGCCCGAAATCCAGATGGTAAGACCGAAAGTTCGAAGTTAGCATGGAAAAAAATGATGCAACATTCTGTGGACTCGGTGAGAAATGAGCTCTATGAGTGTCGAAACCGTTACGAACACAGAATATCCACTAAAAAGAATAGAGCTTACAAGTAAAGATAAAGGATAGAGCTCTTGACGTTGACCAATTCCTGAGGGATTCACCATGCATTCGACCTCATTAAAAATCGTTTGAGGTGATCGAATGCATACCTGGTCTTTACAATGAGTAGCAGAAAAATCAGAAAACTGTGGAATTATACATCGGAATATGACCTGGTAGAAGCGGGAGAGGATGCTGGAATGGATGGGATGCAGAAAGCAATGTATACGGTATACCCTTGTATACGGTTGGGGAATAGACGGACATACGCCATTTGCGAAACAAGGTATCTGTGAAGATCACAAATGCAAGTGCACACAAAATTTAGTGCTAGAGAAGAGGCGATTACAAGTGTAACATACAGATGTCATGGAATCCGCACGGCAGTAGGTGGATCCCAAATGGATGCGAGTGGAGCTCACACAGATGTGGGTAATGTGGAGCACACAGTGTGTGTGTAGTGTTCTTATTCTAAGCCGAGAATGTGCGCAATGGATATGAAATCGATATGTGAGCAACCGAGGAGTGCTTATGGCAGAGGCTAATTTCGTAATATATGAAAACGGTGACTGTGGTACAATGTACGAAGAACATGAGGAGCATATGAGACACATGTGACAAATGTAGGAAACAGAAGATGTTTTCTACTATACAGGAGAAAGTCTCCGAAACGCGTTATAATATTTGTGGTGCTTCATGCTTAAAATCGCTAAATATTGGTATGAGTTGTTCAGTGTTTGTTACCATTCATAGACGATTGAGTTCTTTATATGACTTATCGAATCAGGAACGATGCAGAAGATGATCTGGCTCACTCGAAAACGCTGAAATCAGTGAAGGTCTATGTACAGCAGTGCTATCGTGGTGGTGCTCTACGAGACTAACATGTACACCTTCAGTATCGCCTTTTCCGCTCGTGCCGTGAATTTTCGGAAGCCATCTGCTCAGTAGATACTGTTCCATTATAACCACAACGTTGCTGAGATATTTGCAAAACTCTGGACCGCAGGTGTCTGTGGTGGGGAACGAACGCGCTATTGTCCTTTCCGGGGAGGAATAGTTGAGAGACAGGCGAAACAAAGGACCCGCATGGTGTGGTGGTGAACACGTTACTCCCTGGAAAGGACAATAGCGCGTTCGTTCCCCACAGACACCTGCGGTCCTTAGTTTTGCAAATATCTCGGTAACGTTGTGGTTGTATTTCGCTTAGTACCCTGCCGCGAAATTATAGCAGGCAGAAAATAACGTATAACATTGTTCCATTATAGTTGCTAAATACCGTCAACTATCCTGTGCGCACTAGCATCCACTGTGCAGCAAATACCTATTGATTGGCTTACTGCCAATAACACCAATAGCTCTTTCAAATTGTAAATACTAACGCATATCAAGAAATGCCTGGTGCTCAAAATCTGAAACAAGTGACACGCCATAAGAACACTTTCAATGCTACAAATTCAGATATTTCCTAACGCCGAAATGAAAAAAAGGAAGATCAAGATTTTGTTTGCTGGTATAAACGATAAGATAGAAGAAGACGATGACGAAGACGAAGAGGAGAAAAAGGTAGAAACTTTATTCACTAGTAGAATGACATCGATTTCGCTAAGTTATTAATTCTTTGGTAGTTTTTTTCTTCTCTCGCAATCACAGATATCGAAACCTCCGGAAGCGGCCAATGAGAAGAAGGATGTTAAAGGAAAGAAAAGTGATGAGAAAGAGGTAATTAATATGTTTAAAATAACTCAGTTAAGAGCACGAAGTCGGCATCTATAACGTAATAGGATCTATTCTTTTCCTTCAACATGTCAACCTCGTTACTGTGTTCTAGAAGTGTTGCACGGATCTGCCACAATTAGGGTCTTCAAATGTTTGTCGTTTGTCAGTAGAAATGTGTCACCACCGACTCTACTAATCTTCGACAATGTCGTCTCCATCGGAAACCCTTTTCACCATAGCGTAAGAGTGTAAAAGTGCGCGTGTCGCGCAGTGGTCGGAGGAGCGCTGCAATACAAACGGGATCGATCCTCGAGCAGAGGACTCACTAAGCCTTACATCCCTGTGGGGTTGGCAAATTCGTATCAGACATGCCACTGCGACGCACACGTGGAATCGATCCACGAGCCTTCCATCCATCCAGGGTAGGAGAATTGGTGTCAGACTTGTCTGGGAAGATAGCAATACAGGCTCGATACATCGGTTGGCCACCGCTAGTCATTGTAAAGGCCAGATATACACTGAATTACCTCCAACGATGCTTATTGAAGACGAATGCATGGCGCATCCCTCAAGGATTGATCAACCCCGAGAGGTTCATCCTTTTTATAGGAGCGTAGAGAAAAAGTAGAGTATTAGCTCAGAAAGGGAACGCGAAATCTTTCTATGAAATGAATATGAAGACTTTTAACGTCATCTAAGAACTCGGCGCTAAAAGTTGAAAGCGTAAAAATCAATATTAACTTCCGCACAAGCTCAATCATTTGTATATGAATTCAATTGAATGGTCCGTATTCAACAAAAATCTAGCGTGCTTCAGTGACATTATCAATTCAATTGGTTCACCGGCTATATCTTCTCTGTGAAGTTCAAAAATCCTTATATCATGGGCCTTCCACTTCATCATCACACTAAATGGTCGTCCCTTTTCGATCGGAAGGACATTCCACACCTGAGAATAGTTTTCCTCCAAGATAGCGACGAGGTCTACTCCTAATTGTTCTTGGAGAATAAAATATTAGGCCTTCCAGTTAAAAGCACAGATTTACAACAGTAGAACTGTATAACTCCCTTTTTCTACGAGACTAGAGAGGAGAATATAGAATCTCAAAAAACGATAGATTTTTCTTGAACATACGATTCTCTACATGTGCTTTGAGCCAGCGAAACGCATTAGCAGATGTGGTACGTGTTAGGAACTAAAAGAGAATTTAATGGTGTCCGCTCGAGTAAAGGAGTGGTAGGTAGGTAGGAAGGATAAGACGATCTTCAAATTTATCTACGAATAAACGAAAACCTCTCGAAACAGGAGTCGAAAGTCATCTAAAAGAAACTCATATGTTTATCAATTAAAGAAAAAAGGTCGAGCACCATCACTTCCAAAAGACGGCAAAAATTCTGAACCCAAGGAAAAGGTACCCAAAGCATTGGATAGCGCAAAACCTGATCAAAAAGTTCCGGGAGAATCAGTTGCTAAGGAACAAGCAGAGCCCAAGGTGAGGTACTCAACAGCTTGAAATTAACAAGGTTGAGATTTGATTTATTAAAACTTATGATCAGTAGCTGAGCACAAAAGATACGGAGAGCTTAGAGTTTAGCAGTCAATAAATCAGTTATTCTCGCAACGCTAGTAGAAATCAAGTAATATAACATTCTAAGTTTGTTTAGCTCCAGAAGAAAGATAAAGATAAAGCCACGGAAAAGGCAGAAAAACCCTCTACAAAAAATGAAAAGGAATCTGAGGAGAAACCGGGTGGCACAAAGCCTGGTGAAAAAGCACTAACCGAAAAAGATGCTAAAGAACAATCACAGCCTAAGAAGGATACCGAACACCTCGAAAAAGACAAGGTCCGTTTTTCATTATTAATCGTAAGCGATATGTGAATACAGAAGAGAAGGCAGCTGATAATTTAGCAGTCAGGTAGTCTGGTAGTAAATCAATTAGTCTTAAAGCTTCACTTCTTTTTTATTTCAGAAAAAGGAGAAAGGAGAAGATGTAGAGCAACAGCATGAAACGAAAATGACTGGTAAACCCGAAATTATAGAGCATAAGGTTTAAATTCGTTCCCATATAAAAAGATTACAATTCGGACAAGAATAGAGGCTTTAACGCACTTATAGGTCGAGCTCGATAGTGATTTTACGCAAAAGATAGAACCTCTAGAACACGAAGGTGGAGAAGGTAAAGATAAAGAAAAGGATGAAAAAGATGCTGCACATCCTCATCATGGAGCCGAAGCTGAAAAGGTTGGCTCCATCTAGATAAAGAAAAAACTCGACAAATCAAAAACGAAACTTTTAAAGGATGGGAAACATACTGAACCCGCAGCAGTTGCGGCTGGGCAATCTCACGGAACGAATGTCGTTGCGAAAACACCGGGCGGAAGTGACGCAGCTGCTACGGACCCAAATTTGCGCAAGAAAGAGTTAGAACTTCTTCAAAAGGATGGCAAAGTGAGTACTCTTCACTTAAATGACTAAGTAGGACGATGCAGTTCGTGACTTCGGACGGGAGTTGCTGATACTCTTTCCAACATTAGCACCCCTTTCTCTAGCCACTACTGCAGAATTCCTACCTTAAAACTTTTCATTTATAACACCTGACACAATATATTGTGGGGATTTTAGCACTTCTTCCATTCAGTTCGCATTCACCATCCATAAATATTTTATCGAATTTGTGGGTGGAATCAACTGCCATGGACATTCTTTTTTTCATGAATGTAGTTGAATGGTGGTCGACATGATTTTTTCTGGAATTCGAGGGCGTTCTTAGGTCTCCACAACAGACAGTAGTAGCCTTTATGGATCAGCGATATCTCTTTCTCACACACATGTGATACCTTTCAAGACCGAGAAGATGGACTTCGCTGACGTGGTGTATGGGGCCCAACCATCAGCAACTATGATCGAATTTCAGAACATTTTTAACTATTGTGCTTCCTGTATGATCTTTGCAAATTCATGTGCAAAATTTCGAGGAACTCTAGGTTATTACCTATTAGGGTGGTCAATGTGGAAATCAAAAGAGATAAACGGTCTTGAGGTGGTATAATGCGTAATTTTTCAGAAAGTCCTCGTAGTTACAATGTTTCGCGATCAGAAAGTTCCCAACGATGTCTTATCACGAAGTGGAGACGAAGATGATGAAGACGAGGAAGAAGAGAATCGAAATGCAGATAAGGCTAAAGCCTCAAAGCCCAAGACGTGAACAATCCGTAAAATGTTATAATAAGACAGGAAATTGAATCGTTTCATTATAAACACTCCGTTTTAATCAGTTTCACGAACAACCGAACATTTACAAAACCAATACAAAACGCCCAGAAACGATTAACGCTCAGATGATACAAATGATTTCTGCACAGCTTCACAAAATTGGATCCACTTTCTGTCCTAAAAACTTCCCAGCACACTTCGAGTACAGTAACAAAAGCCGATTTTTTGACAACGCTTTTCGTTTTAATCCTCACAGATCGGAATCGGATTTCCGTCCTTCTAGCAAATTTCTACAAGGTTTCCAGCTCAATCGCAGTTCAGCGCGTAACAAAATTGTGTTTGTTATACTGAAGCGGTTTAACATAGTATAGGGGACTTATTGTAACCGTAGCTAAACTCTAAACTAGATATTTTCCTCAGAATCTATAAAAAAGGTCATTTTGAAAAGTAAATAACAACCAAGCAAGAAATTTAGTGGAGATGAATACGTATGTTATGGAGTTCTTCCACTATTTTTTTATTGATAAGCAAACACGAGGTTGATATCGTAGAATTTATCAGCCCACAATAGCTGACGTTTCGGCGGTTTAGCCTTCTCCAAAGCCTGGAAAGGTTAAATTGATATGCGATCTACTCAGCCAAACACTTTCATAACGTTAGCAGATAAAACTTGACATATAAATTCGCATTCGTATAATAAACAGTTGCTTTTAAACACCCACTGTTTTATTCTCGGCAAGTATTCCTATTAATTGATGGATGGAAAGCAGTCGCACAGAGTAATATACATGGGCGAGGACTGTGCCTGTGTCAGGTCATTGAATCAGCCTGAGGTACGGCCCTCGGTCACGTGTGACGATAAGATTCTCCTCCTTGGGGTTCATTTTTGGATTTTTAGAATTAATCCAGAACGTTTCAGAAGTTTACGCGCTGATGTTTTGGATTCCTGTGCGAGGATAGTGACTTTTACTTTGAAATCTTCTCCGTTGTGTTCCTGCACCCTATGCGCGCCTAGTGGAGTGTTTGGTTTTAATTTAGATTTACCGACTAGGTGTACTTTACAAGAGATTAGGTACACCATACCCAAACTCACGCAATCACTGTCTCTAACGCCAGGGCATATCATGCAATTTTTCACTGTACGTAGACCGTCATATAGGCGGTCACGAACTAGCTGGTGTCTCAGTGTTTGGTGGTACTTCTATCACTTTTACCGAATTCTCTAAACCGGCCCTTCTTAAGCAACGTTCTATAGGTGCCCTTATTTCGCATGAAACAAAGGGTAAGATGAACGGAGCTTTGTTCGCATTGGAATTATCGTTCTGTAGTGTGATTTTTCGTCTATGCCTATGCTGCGAAGCTACAGTTTCATAGCCATTCGAAGTGGCTATTTCAGGCGCCAATTTCAAAGACAGGGAGAGGGAAAAGCATCTCCTTCGAAACGATTGTTCTAGTAAATACAAAGCTCCGGTCATTTTGTTTTTTATTTCGAACAAAATAAGTGCATCTACAAAACGTTGCTTAAGAAGGGCCGGTCTAGAGAATTCTGTAAAGTGAGATACCACCGGAGACTCTCGGAGGCCAGCTAATTCGTAACCGCCTGTATGACCAAGTGCTTACAACGAAAAACTGCATATTTCGAAACCGACTTTCTCTAAACCTCGGTGTGACTAATCAATATGTATTCTTTCTTGATAAGCTTGCACGAGGTTGATAAATATATTTATCAACCTCGTGCAAGCTTATCAAGAAAGAATACATATTGAAAAACTGCATAGTTTGCCCTAACGGTAGAAACGGCTATTGCATGAGTTCGAGTACGGTGTACCTAATCTCTTGTAAAGTGTGTAGGGAGGAATGCGCTGCCGAAACGGGTAGATCGCTCTGAGTCTGCTTAAAGAACACCTAGTCGGTAAATCTAAATTTCGGAAAAAAATACTCCTCTAGATGCTCATAGGACGCAAAGACACAACGGAGAACACTTTAAAGTGGAAATCACTATCCTCGAACAAGAATCCAGGACATCGGCGCGTAAAAATTTCTGATGCACCTTGGATTAATTCCAAAAATCCAAAATGAATTGCAGGGAGTGTGTTGTTATCACGCATGACCTCGCGCCATAGCTCAGGCCGATTCAATGGCCTGACCCAAGCACAGTTCTCGCCCATGTATCACTCTGTGCGGCTGCTCTCCGCCAATGAATTGGAATACTTGCCAAGAATAAAACAGTGGGTGTTTAAAAGAAACTGTTTATTATGCTAATGCAAATCTATATGTCAAGTCCTATCTGCTAACGTTATGAAAGTGTTCGGCTGAGTAGATCGCATATCAATTTGACCTTTCCAGGCTCTGAAGAAGGCGAAACCCCAAACGCCAGCTATTGTGCTAATAAATTCCATAATATCATCCTCATGTTTGCTTATCGAAGAAAAGCAATGGGACACATCAATGCCGAAGCTAAGAGAAAGTTCTTTGAATTAGAGAGAATAGTTAAACTACAAGGCAGCACTAAAATAGTCATGCTCAATCTCAATGCCGCCATTTCATAATGAATGCAACGTAAGTATTTTAAAACAACGTGAAAAAATAGAACAAATATGGAGTGAAAACCCAACAAGTTCTAGTAATTAGGTATTAATTCATTTAATGCATCAAAGAGTGAACAATTCCCCAGTGTTTTACTGCTTTAGAGCAGCTACATGAAACTTGATGTGTTCCTCCATGAAAGTTGCGATAAAGAAATAACTATGGTCGTATCCGGGTTGCGTCCGTACATCCACCGTTACTGGATTTGTTGACATCAGTGATTCCGGTTGTAGTTGTCCTTGAGCTAAGAACCTATCAGCGGCTCCCTAAATTTGCCGATAGTGGAGAATCTGGTTACTTCCGGGAGTGATCTTAAGCTTCCACGAACTGCTAATATGTTATTAAACAAGGAACCTGATAAACAAGGAGTTTTCTTGGTGGTCCATTGTAGCTTTTCAACAACAATGACGAATCGTACTGTTCCCACTGTTTTGTGTCAGCACCTAAGTAAATATACAGGACTAAATGTGAATCTGCTAACAGGAATTGGGCAGAACAACGAACTTACCGAGGTACAGTTTGAATGCCTTCTGACCCCATGGACAATTCATTGGATGACAAATAGGTGCAAAAGCAGAAATCGATTGAAACAAATCAGGGTTTTTCAATCCAATAGAAATTGCACCATGACCTCCCATAGAGTGTCCAAAGATCCCTACAACAAAATCTAGGTAACCAAAAAAACAGTGCAAAGAATAACTTGGTATCTAAGCAGACAGCAGACAGGCCTTTATAGATTCACAGTGCTAACGTAAGTGTATTCTATTAAACATAGCCTCTTCTGCAAAATAATGTAATACATGAGGCTTCTATAAACGGAGTGATAACTGTTATTGATGTCGACCAAGAAGTGATGCGAGACAGAAAATTTGTCTCTGACCAACCTAATCTTTTCAAATCGATTGGAAGCAAGTGCTGAACCAATTCCGGTAGCTCTTTAGTAATATAGCTGTACATGTTATAGTGCTTGGACCAAGGCTCTTCAGTAGCGTCCACATAAAATCCTGCTCCTTCAACAGTTTAAGGATAGATTACGTTGTAACACATTTGTAGCTTACTGCGCATAAGGGAGCAATGGAGAAAAACATAACGATAATAAAAACTTGAATAAACTACAATATTACCTTTTCCAAAATCCCATGAATCGCTGTCTCCTGGCAAGTCAACTCCTCTTGGAGAGGTGTCAGGATGAACGACAATTATTCCTAAATGTCTACTATAGAGAGAAAAGACACATAAAAACTTAAACATACCGAAAGGTTGACTAACCGTATTCACTAGCGTACTTCTGAAAACCAGATTTCTCCATAAAGTTTGCATGAGTACAGGTCAACCCTGAAGTAACATCAGCAAAATCGAAGTGTGAAGTTCTACGCATGGAGTATTCAAGACTAAAACTACATTTACACACACCTGACAAATAAAACAATCCAGGCAAACGATCTTCCGCTCCATGGTCTGGAATGTAAGCCCCAAAATGCATTTCGCAATTAAGGACATCACTAAAATCTTAAATAGACAATTCGCAAAGGGGAAAAGTGATAATTTATTACCTACTTACCCACATACTTGGATGGCCCGTCTTCAATGGTCGCGTGAGTTCCAGCATAATTTCCGCTTTTCAGGAATTTTGCTGGCTGAGCCATTTGGTTCCCTGGAGCCCGAGGTCACCCTGGTCAAAATCTGCTCCAGGTCGTCACCACCACAGGCAGCCGCCGCCCTTGTGATGTGTTGCCGTGCGACTAGTTTCACCAGGATGGTGGTGGATCATGGTATTGGCATACTCTTAGTTGGGCTTCTTGATGGAAACGCCGGATCCCTTCTCAGCTTGGGAAACCCTGATAGCGGGATGGATCGCCTCGCTGCACATCGCAGTCTTACACCCATGAACACCTCCCAGCCACAATGAGGTGGTAAACCGCTTGGAGGTCATTTAATCCTATAATAATTTATTTCGCACAGAACTGAAGCCTTTGACTGACTTCACCCAATAATCGTTGTATTTCAGGAAGTGTCCATCACGCCCCAAACTTTTTATTATTACCACTATGTGCCTGCGAAGGAGTCAGACGTTTCGATCAGGAAGTCTAGCTAAATATAAATCAATACTAGGCTCCACCATCCTAGTATCAAAGTAGCATGGTGGCAAATCTCCCTCTGATCCACAAGAGCTGCGACTGCCTATGGCGTTGAAGACTTGCGGCAGACTTTGACCATGCCGACCTCGGGACTGGAGGGAACCAAAATGGCTTGACTAGCAAATCTCCGAAAATGGAGGTTATGCTGGAACCCAGACAACCAGTGAGGGCGGGTCATTCAAGTATCAAGTAAGTAGGTACCTTTACATGACCCAACAACACAGGTATCACACTGTGCCGGTCCTAACACTGCTTGCGTCTGATTCAGTTTCTCACATCGGCTGTCCACGAAGACCTGCCAACTTTTTACATGTAGCCTCAGCTAATGTTTGAGAATTTTTGCATTCGTCATGAACATCGCTGAATGCTGTTTGAGCAGATTCTCTCTGGAATCCTTTAGCAGACGCACTTGGGTATTCCCACTTAGACTGAAGAGAGTGAACTTGCCCAAAACAAGCCTAGTACTAATTCCCCGATCCGAAAGAGATGACAGACTTGATATGCTCACGATAGGTCAAATCCGTTTCTGGGTGAGTTGGGCTTTCCAAGTAATGAACGAGATCACTGCAACTACACCTATTCCCACGACTTTACTTTCCACACTGCCCCTCCTCTCCTTCTTTCCAATCAATTCAAATATTACATAGTCTTACCCTGACATGGACGTCCAGCACAAAGTTCCAGCCGTTGATCAATAACTGAGCGATTAAACATGCATTCGACCTTATCAAACATCGTTAGAGGTGACTGAATGCATTCCATCGAGTCGCGGTGGTCTACCAATGCACCGACTCAGCACTGCTGTACTCCTAGACAAGCGTGGTGTTAATTTGTCCACCCCGAAGAAATGGAATGCTCGGTGAGTCTTGGGCGCGAGGTCGAACTCGTGTTTATTGCAGAGCACCTGGCGCGTGTGGCGCAGTGGTTGAAGGTGCCACTGCGACACACACGTGGATCGATCCCCGCGCCCATGGCCCAACAAGCACTTCATCCCTCCGGGGTCGGCAAATTGGTACAGGATTTGCCTGCGAGGATGGCAGCACTGACTCGATACGTCGCCAGACCACGGCGAGTCATTATAAAGTCCACATATGCATTCAGTCATCTCCAACGATACTTAATGAAGTCGAATGCGTGACGCACTCCTCAGAGATTGATCAACGCCGAAAGCTTTATCCTTTATCCTTTTACCTCTAACCACTAACCTGCATGTGTCCAGCATGAACATTACCCAAATAAATCAAGCCAAGATGGTTCCCTTGTTACGCACCTGCGATGCTTATAGACATTTTGTTGGCCTTGAAAACATCGTACGGCTGACACAAGTTCGGCCAACATCTAGAGTTAAATCAACATACGATTCCACTCATGTCTTCAGTAGGCCAAGGAATCGCAGAACGAATGAAATAACGCAAATATGGAACAAGAGTAGACAAGTTTCATAATTTAATCTTTCATTTCATTCTTCAAATTAATCTGTTATGTCGTCCCTAAACTACCGTAGGACATACATTTAGACACCAACAATGTTGCGCTCGATACTGGATGAAAGAAGACTGGCAATAATTCGGCTGAATACTAAGGCTGTTCTAGTTGCTCGATAATACTTACTATACTTACTTAATACTTACGATATATAATATTCTTACGATAATTACATGGTAATACCAATGAAACGAACTGAAAAAAAGCACATGGATAACTTTATTATGCTCTGATGATCATCATAAATAACACATGATCTCAACTTAAACAAATTGAAACGATTAAAGTCGGTTGAACTGATTACCAAGGCAAAGGTATGGCAACACCTCCTCTATGGTACATAGGTTGCGAAATATTCTGAAGTGAGATCATTGCCATTACGGATCTACTTCGTCCGAACGCACTCACCACCATTGACTACTGAGTTACTAAATTATCTACAGTGTATAATAGTTACATAGCCGACCATAATTAGTACACAGAAGAGTAGCTGGTGATCAAACGGATAAGTCCATTGAATGAACAGATTTCAACGGAACTAATAAAACTGGTCATATACCACATACTGAAAAATATACAGGACAGAATTGGTAGCTATCCAAATAATATAGTGTACTGGTAAATCAATGTGAATCAATACAATCAATAGGACAGCAGTATAAGGCAAACGAGGTAAAACCGATATAATGACATAGATTGGCCCGCTACTCGACATTCACAAAGAACGTTGATCAAAATGATGAAGCTAATGAACAAGCATTCATTATAGTGAAAAAAGACAACTGAGCACAACGAGAATATTAAACCTGAATGCCAATGGGAAATATTTAACAGGGCATGGACAACGCATTATCCGATGAGCGAATATTCCAACTGTTGAAAGAAAACCTTAGCACGTCCAAAATAATCAGAGAAGAGCAATAGAAAACGGCTAAAGAAAGTTTGTAGAAAGTTAATTAATATAATCCTACCAAGTAGACCATCATGTTATATCATACCGATATCGCCCAAAGACTTTAAGCTACACTGAAATCAGCCCTAACAGGCTAGATCGCCCGCCGAATGCACCACTTTTCGGAATCTCTCCTAAGGACAACCACCGACCGACACCATGCTAATGTCACATCGGTATATTAACTATGCCAAAAAGAAAACACATATGATTTAACTCGCCACCGTTACATGCGAAAATAAAAGCTTTGAATAAGCTATTTAAACTAGGGAGGAGCAAAACTAAAAGGACATAAAAACTATGTTCACACAGCGGGTTGTACATGAATTAAAAATTCAAGGATCAAACGTCGGCGACTAATATCTATTAATAATAGACATATAGTACAAAATAATGTACACCACAAGATTTAAATATGGAAATCAAGGCTGCTGTCCAAATGTCAACCGAAACTACAAAAGGACAACCTGATATGCGCGAGCGATCTCGGCTAGAAAGCACGAAGTTGAGTTAATAACATCTACGATATGCAACGGATATATGCTAATAACAATACCTCATCTAGATGTTTTTCTTTACGTACCTGTAGCATGTAGTATCTATTAAGAAAAACACGAATAGAGATAAAGAAGAAAGAAAGACCGTGGTGTCCTTGTGCTAGGAAAACGATGACGACTTATGAGCATGAATCAGTTGTAGAAAACTCGGCTCAATATGAGGAGTTGTTTTGCGTGAGGCCAAAGCAAGAAAGAGTAAGTGACAGATCATCGCCATCCAATCGCAACATCGTGGTTCAGCATTGTTAACGCAGTTTGGCTTTGTCGGTAACTGAAACTCATATCACCCTTAACAGTTCAACTACAACTACGGCTGCATCAAATTATATCGTCAGAATGTTACCAAGTGATTGAATAACTATAGAGGAAAACACCTGAATACTTGGATGACCTGCCTTCACTAGTTGTGCGGACCTCAGCATAATCTCTATTCTGTCAAAGATTTGCTGGTTTAGCCACTATGGTTCTCTGGAGTCTCTAGGCCAGGCTGGCCAAAGTGTACCCCAGGTCTTCACCACCACGGGCAGCAGCAGCCCTTGTGGATCAAACGGAGATTTCCCCCATGCGACTAGCTTGATACCAAGACTGGTGGATTTTGGTATTGGTTTATTTTTAGCTAGGCTTCCTCACGTAAACGCTGGACACCTTCTCAGCTTAGAGAACCCTGCCTGGGAATGAAACCCCCGCTGTACATCGCAATCCGACACCTAGGAACACCTCATAGCTACGACGGGGCGGTAAACCGTTGGGACGATAGAGGAAAATATTGATTACAAACTTATTTTGGTCATAAGCTTAAAAACGTGTTCAAATAAACCGCAATGCACTAAGCATACGCACTAGCTCAGTCGGAACATGCAAAAAAAGAGAGCTTGTATAGAACCTCAATCTTACCCTTACTTCAGAAACTCTAATTCTATCGAACAGCGCACGTAAACACTGCGACCCAACTGTGACGTCTTCTACACGTGAAGATGCTGCTGCAGCAGTGTTTGCCGCTGATTGTACAGCCTTAGCTAGCTGCTGGTTCACAGGATTACCTGATGGCAAGAAATATCACATCATGCGATTCATACATGAATGTGCCACTCTTATAAACATCTAATGCATTCTCCAGTAAAGTAAAACCACTACCACTTAATACTCACCATTCATGTACGATATCAACAAAGGATTCGCAAATCGCAAGATGTAGACGGTGCTGAAATGGATTTATAGTAAAAAGTATAAACAAATAAAAAACGGACGAAAAGGAGCATGGCCCTTGAAAACTTTTGCCACTATGGCGACTAGCACGATAAGAATAACACTAGTTTCATATAATTTTTGCAAAGAGGGAAAAGACAGTTTTAACGAAAACAGTAGAAGACATATCAAATCCAATGGATCAACTGAACTCCAGTTCAAAATATAACTTTAATTACATTCGAACAGTCTAACCAAATGCAATGTTTCGATTCTATTCCACTAGAAACTACTGTATACAAGCAATGAAGTCCGGAGTGGTGATTTCAGTTTTATTCTTGTCTTCAAAATTTCAATCGTACTAGAATTGTTTGAGAAGCTGAACAGATGATAGTCTAATAGGACGCTATCAAAACCGATGTTCACATGTGAATCAACTCTTAAACTAATAGTTTACAGTTTAGCTAGAATGACTATAGTGGCTTCCGGTAGGGTGACGCTACTGTATTCAGCTTGTTTAAGTAAGTTTCTCCGTAGCAAAATTGAACGTAGTTGTCACACACACTTACAGATATTTAAGATCTCTCGATCATAAATTCAGAGCTGACAATATCCGTGCACAACCAGGTTACAGACTATTTTTGAGTCATCCTACTTGAAATGAGTTACTGAACGATAGTAGTCACTTTCTCCATTAAACAGTGATGTAATAGGTCCACATAACGATTAAGCTTATAGAATAGTACGCCCCTCTATAGGATTTGAAGAAGCAGATGCTACCAAAACGTTAACTATTAACAAATAAAAGTTCTGACGACCTCGTCCAAAATCCATAAGGACAAAACAGCTTGTTGATTAATGGCGAAGTGTACGTAAGAATTGATATGAATGTAACTGATAAACGGAAAACGGTTAACTTCAAACTCGAAACCCGACGTCTTCGATTGACTCTAACATTCCGTCAAAACCACGGCGAATCTCAATATCAAAATCGTCTTCATAAGATTCAATACAACACCGAATCTATAGAATGCATAACGCTTCCGGTGAAATTGTTTTGAAATATGGCAACAAAAAATAACCCCAATATAGTGATTTTTTTGACGGAGTTAGAGAATTAACACATATGTAGTTTAGACGAACTTAAAATAAGAAAATGACTGACAAACCTTAACACCCTCCTCACCAAATGAGGTTCATCAGGAAATCGCTCACTAGCTAGTTGTGCAACCACAACGAGCAGATCACATACTAATGAAGTCGGTGAAACCAATTTATCGAGAACGGCAACTATGTGATCCACTTCTGTTGGCTAAACAACGAAATGCTACCAAATACTAGTGAAGTTTCAATAGACATATTCCCTGAATACCTGTAATAACTTCAAATTTGCTACACCGATTGCATCAAATGCATCTTCGAGCTCAGATCGACCGGCAATACGCAGCGTTTGGGTTAGCAATGTTGTCGTGAATGAGTCCTGACGCATAACACTCTCTGCCGAGGAAACTGCCAATACACGACGCAAAAGACGACTGAAACGTAGTATTGATTCATTGAAATTAACACTAAAGCATTCACTGATATATAACACATGCCCTAAGTGGACAGAAGGTCAAACAAAAATAAGGACAAAAGAACCTTATCAAGTGAAGTAACTCATCACGGCTCGGCAATAAAAGTGAGACAATCGACCAACACAGCAATGAACGCTGCTGTATCGATAGTGTTTCCGATGCCCAATCAAATAGACTAGCCGTTTCGTCTCTGAAAAAAAAAACCAGTTTTTGGAATTGTTTTGAATTCCCAGAAAGAATATTTATGAATCTAGAACCTCACGACCAATACATCTAGTAGTTTTATTCACCTCCAGTCAACAAATTGTTTACCTCAGATACTCCAATAACGGTGTATATTGTTCTGGAGGAAGCACACGAAATCGATACCGCGTAGCATGAAACGTAAATCCTAACTCCGGTGAATCAGAATACGGCAGTGAATCAGGCAAAGAGAGTAAAGCCGAGACACCAAGTGGCCTGCCCTTTTTTCCACCACTAGTATGTGAAAGAACCGAGAATTGCAGAGTGCCATTCTCGGGAGGTAGTAGTCTGCATAAGATCTGCATTAAAAAGACAAAGTAGTGGAAAAGGATATAAGATTGTAATAAATACCCACGGAAGCAGAAAGGAACAGTCAAATATTACTGATGGAGGACCACCTTTTCCAACAGATGGTGCAACTACTGGCGTATTGCACACCTGAACTTGAAGAATTTGTATATCTTGCCTACAAATGTTTAGGAAGTGCTTGTTACTTACTTTGATTCCACATATCATACCATAAGCAGAATAAAAGCCGTCCTGCTTCAGTGATTCAGATCTAAAACGAAAAGGAAAAAAAACAATGTCGATTTTTAAAACAAAATCAAGTCGGAGTTTTTAATACTGAACAACGAACCGATACTTGTTAATATGAAGCTGTAAAATAGCAAGAGTGGACAGTTTAGGTGCATCAAACTTTATTCCTAAACCCGGTATGGTACCAACACGAAGACCCAGAACCCGCGGTCTAAAAATGAATAACTGAACCGAATAATGAAAATGGAAAGAGAATTGCATTGTAGAGACATGCGGGAGCACTTATTATACTGTGTAATATAGTAGTGCGTCAACAGCCTTTAAACATAGGTAGAATTCGAATTTTGTGTTTAAACAACACAGATTTCACGTTTGTTATTATCTTCCGCAGCTTGCATAGCGCTATGGTTATAGAATTGCCCTGCTAAGAACATGGTCGTTGGTTGGATCGTTCGCCTTTGGCTAACCAAACCACCTACAACTCAAGGGACGACAAATTGAAACCAGGCCTGTACAGGAAGTACAATGACATATCTTCAGGCCACAAAAAGTCTTTGACCTCAACAAGTCACTGACAGTATCGATCAAATATGCGCTGAACCTTGGACGATGTTTGATGAAGTCGAAGGCATAACGCGCCGCTAATGGACTTAAAACCGAACGCTTTATTGCATCTTTAACACCTATGACATAATCTGAGGTTCTCTGGGTTACTCGTCAGGACCAAATTTTCCCGATAATGGTTCGTGACCTTATCGTGCGAAGAGTGTATTCCAAACTAACTGAAATGGGTCTTAGGTCTTGGTATCACAGCAAAGGTCTTAACAGAATCAGCCAAATTGAGAAGAAATCCAGGATCTCGAGTCTCAACTCAATTGGTTAGAACATATATTGCCACAAAGTCTGCTGGTTTCGCGAAACAGGACGGCATGATAAAGGCAAAGGAAGTGCGGTGGCGCCATCTAAGTAACCTATAAAGTTCGGAACGATAAAGACCTGTATGCAGATTCAATCGAAGCTTTCCCTTAACTTGAGGCATAAGCACATATAGTGGTGAGTTTGGAATTAAATTTGACTGTTTAGCTTTCGCTAAGAAGCATCTGTTTACAATGCTAACAAAAATAGCTATTTAACGAATTGTGTTCCTTGCACAAAAAGAGTCCACGTAACAACCCAAATCTGTTTTAGATTAGTGACATTTTCGTGGTGATATCTCGACGAAGAAGGCTTCCACTATTGAACACAAGATCTGCTACACTGAAGATCAGTGAAGTCGGTAACCTTCTGCAGCGCGTCGTGGTCCTCCATTACACTCTGTGACTGGTTACGAACCTTGTAAATTTTGAAAAATCGAAATTTTAAACATTACTATAATTATATTGAAACTCAATTGCACGGACTATCTACGCGATGACGGACCCATTACGATTTCCAACCATATGACGGCAGTGGTTCCAATCCACAGATTTACTCATAGATGGGCTTTTAAACGGGATTTAACCCATTTTCAGAATCGTTGACACTGCTGAGAATATAAACTACCTGCCATATAGAAGCACATCTGCCCCCCCCCCCCAAAAAAAAAACATAAAAGCGATAAACACTTCATCAATTATATCTTTACGGACAACTTCCTTTTTATGAATATCGTTCATCTGTGCAGATTTTTACCTGTCCGAAAACTTCCACAATGAACATAGAGATCATCTTACTTGAAAAAAGACAAAGAAAGTGTTTAAATTGAAGGTAAATATATTAAAAAAAATATAAATATCTCGGCGTTGACCAATCCCTGAGTGGTGCTCCATGCATACAACTTCACTGGGCTTCGTTGGAGAATGAATGCATATCTGCATATTACGTGATTCGTGGTGGCCTACCGATGTATCAAGCCAGTGCTGGTTTCTTCCCAGACAAGTCGTGCACCAGTTTACCGACTCCGAAGGGATAGAAGGTTTGGTGAGCCTTGGGTGCATGGATCAACGCTCACGTGTGCTCCAGGGCGCCTCCGACCACTGTGCCACATAAAGGACGCCTAACTTCACCATTAACCGGGACTGCGAAAAGAAGCGAACGTAGTCGCTATAAGAAAAACTAAGCAAAAGTCCACTAACTGCAAGTATCTTATGGATCACTGCTCAGAACAAACTCACGTTCAAGAATTTATAGTACCCATAAACGACATATCTAATTTCCATGACAGACATAAGCGCCGAAAGGCATATATTTTAACCCTTTTATTTACTGCCTTTTCTTTTTAATGGCAGGGTATATTGCGAAATATAACTCGTATATAACGCTGAGATGTTTGCAAAACTCCGGACCGCAGGTGTATGCGTTGGGGAACGAACGCGCGCTATTGTCCTTACCAGGGAGTAGCGCACTTCACCACCACACCATCTGGGTCCTTCGTTTTGCCTGTTTCTCAGCTAGTTCTATTGATTATTCTATTGATGGCCTATATTTTGTTATTCGAAACACAATTCAGCTAAATTTTACCTCAACAATTCAAGCCATTTGATGAGGACATGTGTTGGCCGAAAACATAGGTACACGCCGGGAAGGTCGATGTCAGTCTGCGAGAAAAATATACAACCCTCACGCGAGAAGACAGAATCATCAAGTAGATACATTACACAATACGCCAAATCTAGCACAAGTCGGACTTTGGCGCTCTGAAATACCAATTGATACAAAAATATTTGGTGAAAACACGCTCAAGCAGAAAGTAGCATACCGATTCGGTATCGGTAATGAACAACTCACAACCATCGTTGGGATCATCGCATAGCGTAAGCCAACATGGTTTCCACGCTTTTTCTTCTCGTGCTAAAATAAAAAAAAGCCCATAAAAGGTAAGAAAGGAAAAAACCTACTTACGATATGCAGTGAACCGACTGTTCCTTGCTGCACACCATAGGTACTAACATTGTTTAAAGATTTGTAAGTAATCCGTATAGCTCAGAGATTAAAGGTGTCTTACAATGCATATGACCCCTGGTTCGAAACTACGCTCGGTGTTAAGCAATCTCCCACAGCTTTAGGGTAGAAAAACTGCTAATAGAATGTTAACTTTTTACTTGCTGCTTACCTCAGCTTATTTCAGCACAAATATGAGTGCTAACAGATTTACTCAGGAGGGCGAAAACATTGAGATAATGCATTGGAAGAGCCCAGAGACTTATGGCAGAAGCCAACTACGCATCGAATCACCACTACGATGCATAATAGAGTCGAATTTACGATGTACCTCTTTGCCATAAACTAGTGGCAAATAATTTTGCATTGTCACAGGCTTAAACGATGAACTATCAACAATTTACTGACGAAAAATATACGGAGAAACCACAGAAAACATAGATTACGCACACTTTCTCAGCGCCTGTACAGCAGCAACAGTATTAGATGCGCAGTTGTGATTGAAGTAGTCATCTGTTGCCTCGATATAGGTTACATTAGGTGACCATTCTGATGTCGACGTAGTTCCCGGCGCAACAGCCACGCCATGTTGATCTTCAGTTGGTACACGAGACCGCGACGCTGATGACAGAACAGCATGCGTTAAACGCACATTGTTTGCAATAGGATGAACGCAATATCTGGAAAATTAACAAGCTAAAAGAACTGTTCAGCAAGAATATTAAGAACCAACAAAACATCACATTTAGTATTCTATATTACTATTATAAATTGTACAAATATTAAAGTAAATATTACAAACGGCCAATTGCACTAGATAACACGGTAATAGCTGGGCGATGGGTGGACAGATAGACACATGTACACTTCTGGATTAATGATCTTTTAACACCTGGAAATTTATATCATGTATCTTATTTTTGTCGATGAGTATGTGTAGCACAGTGGTTGGAGGTGCCGTGAAATACACATGGGATCGATCCTCGTGCCCCAGGCTCACCAAATCTTCCATCCCTCTGGGGTTAGAAAGTTGATACCAGACTTGTCTGGGAGGATAGGAGCACTGACCCAATACATCGCCAGGCCACCATGAGTCATTGTAAAGGCCAGATGTGCATTTAATCACCTGCAACAATACTTATTGAAGACGAATGGATGGCGCATGCCTCACGGATTTATCAACACCGAGTTTTTTTTAGCTTTTACCTTATTTATAGTGACCGTTTCTCGTTAAAGGGATTAGTATAATAATTTCATCAGATACGTTAAGTCGATAATAATTCGAGCACTGCAAGTTAACAAGATGGCTATCACATGTAATTTTAGAGGAAAAAAAGTGCATATCACATATGGTCTCTGTTATTAAACATAATGATACTTTCAGTAGATATTCACCAAACACATTTGAGCATACGCAACACACTAGAAAAAAGCGACATCGATAAGTTCCCACCTGGAGCGATTAATTACCTGTCTATAATATGTTGTAACGAAGGAAAACGACGACCGGCAAGAAAGAAGCCATCAGAGCCTTCCGTACCGCCACGAATAAGAAATTTTTCGATCTTATCTCGTGTATTCACCAAAAGTGCAAAAGCATCAGCACCTTGGCTTGATGAACGGACCAAAAAAGCACCCGCACCAACTAAAAGTTTCAGATTGAGATGGTTACATAGGTATTTAGAAGCATATAAATAATGAATTCGTGGCTTCCAAAATCGAAAGTGTACGCAGGTAATAAACAGATTCGATTATCTCTTTTACAAAGCTAGATGGAAAATAAAACTTGAAATAACGTCTCAGTTGTGAGACTTACCTTGGCGGAATGGCGATTTACAATTACGGTTTAAAAATTCCCAAAAAGTGGTAAATTATTGTGAGAAAGTATACCAGCACAACAAAGGAAAAGTATGAAATGGATAGACCATTCCAGAAAAAAGTCGTCGGAAGCAAACATTAGACTCACCACGTGTCAACATTTTCAACTCATCGGTTGCTACAACGGAATGGAAATATGTCAGCCTGTGAACCACCGATGATTCCGACAACTGTAATTTTACAAATCCAGTTTCCCTCACCAATATAATGTAAAAACAAAAACAGCAGTTATAACGAAGAAAAAATATTGCTATTTCAATGTTCACAAGCTGTCTCCCACACTTTGCGTTTCTTTTTGAACCCATTCAAAGTGTTTTACAAAGACAAGTTCTTTATTTCAACAACCCAGAGCAGAGAAACCTGTGGTTCCCTAAAATACTCAAAAACACAAACATTGGACGTTTGAACTCGGTGTGAAAATGAGATCAATGAGATGTTAAACACTAGAAGTAGAACCACGAAGATGCTAAGAAATGAGCAAAACTCGGAACCTTAGATGAACATCGAACCCAAGATTACCCTTTCTTGGAGTTCACGTGCTGTACACCAAATAAACCACGGCCCTTGGCTTGCTTTTCTCTCAGCCATGTTTTTACTCTACCGGTACTACAAGCAATCATCGGTCAATGGGAATGATCTAAGGAACAAAAATCGGCACTGAACTAAGTTAAGTTGAGGTTGTAGTTAAATCAGTTGGCACCGTCACAGTAAAAAAAACTGGCTAAGAGAAAGGCAAATCAAGGGCCTTCTTTTATGTGATGTATAGCACGTCATTCGCGTGAAAGGACAGCCGGGGATTCGAAGCCTAATTGAAGTTTCGAGTTTTGCTGACACCTCAACATTTTTATGTTTGTATTTCCATCTATTCCCTCGTAAAGATCTCCATCATAGAGGGAACTCATGCCGGTTTGTTGTGAACCAACGTGGCGCGCCCTCAGGTATCGGATAAAGCGACTTTTGCCTCCCTGAGATGTAGGTGAATTCAGGTGTTGGACTCCTGATTCTGGCTCGCCGATTTGACGTATACCATCTTCGTTTACGACGATGTATGTGTGCATGTGTGCGCAAACGTGTTCTCGTTTTCGCAGACTCTATTCTACGAGTCAATTCAAAAAGCTTGCCATCAAGTGACTGGGAAGTATGTGGGAGGCGGTCTGCAGTCGCCTCAGACAAGTGAGCTCTTCGTCTACTTTGGGAGAGAATGGAAATCTATCCGTGACTACTTCCAGCAGCGTTAGATAGGACGAGTACGGAGAGGATGCTTAAATCTCAGAGGTATTCTAGGTTGCCTAAATCTCGAAGAATTGAGGTGACAATTTGTACCTACAATACACACGCACTTGCGTCTGAGTTTTCGATAACTGACTTGATCATGCAGGCAAGAACTATAAGGTATGATGTCATCACATTGGCTGAGACGAGATGCCACCTATTCAGTGCCGTCTGCAACAACCGAAGAACTGTTCCTCGGTACACACGATAATGGAAGCTTCGGCCATTTCGGTGTTCTCTTCAACAACAGTTTGGGCATGAAGATTGATCCATTCGACCAAAATATCACCATTCCACAACAATATTAACGTTGATGTAAAAAGAGACGACAGGTAAGGCGATACCATCTCACCAAAACAATTTACTCTACCAAGAAGCAGACGCCATACAGAATGGATGTTAGCTTTCGTATACCTCATTCATGCTCAACGACGTGAATATCTCCGAATGCACTAGCTATATCTGTCTAGGTCGGGAAGCCAAAATGATGAACGACTTAGCTCAAGAGTTGAGCACAAGGAAACGGTCAGCAAGGAGAGCTTTCAACAGCAACGAGTATCTGGAGAAGAGAACAAAGAACACCCGCCTCCATGCCCACCTTTCCGACTCCACGATTCTTCCTGCCTTGACGCTGTGTATCAGAAACTTGGTCGCTACATAAGTAGGATGAAAGATCACTCAGCGTAATTGAACATGCAGTAGACAGAACCATGACAAGTATGACGTAAGGGAGAGAGGAAATCCAAAACTACGACCTACGTCGACGGTCAAAAATTAAAGACGCCGTTCTATATGCCAAATTGTCGAATATAAGGTTGGCAGAACAAGTAATGCGCGAAAACCGATGAACAAGAGCCCTTATTGACTGAATATCTGGGAATGTGAAACGAACAGCAGGAATTTTGATCAATAATCCAGTGTTCGGAGTTATTCACAGAAACCCTAAAAGAAAGATAAGATGTTCAATGAGTTCCCAGTGCAAGCAGAAGCCGCAGGACTACTCTTTTAAGAAGCAGGGAGAAATGGAAGGTTCACTGGCGCCCACTCGGTTCACTCGACGATCAACGAGACGACAGCTGATAACCTCCCATGAAAAAGAACAGGCAGTAAAAAAACGTTAAACACTAAAAATACTCAGACACACAAAGCCTCGCATATCGCAGAAAAAATTCGCAGTTTCCCCACCAATAAAACCGAAAAATTTCTTTAATTACTAATCATACGCAAAATGTTATGTTTTATAGTAAATAAAAAGGACAAAAACATAAAGGGGACTACCAGGCATTAACCACAACGATGCTGAGATATTCGCAAAACTTGAACCCTGGGATAGATCGAACCACAACTTTTCTGGGGATTCGCGCATTATACACTGCACCACGAAGACCCTTGCTCTGCGTTTCTCCCAGCTAGTTTTCTACCTATCAGTGCCATCAGCAATTATCTGTCAACGCGATTGATCTGCAGAGCCCACATCGACATTGAACCCAATTAAGATGAGTCTGCAGTCGAAATCACAAAGTATACTTTTTTATTTACCGCTTACTACATTCGATCTGGCAAGGGGTCCAAGTTTGGCGAATATCTCAGCATCACTGTAGTTGTTTTCGCGTAATACCCAGTCGCGAAAATTGTAGTAGGAAGTAAATGAAAAAGTAAACATTGTGATTTCGAATGCAGCCTCAGCTTAACTGGATTCAATGCCGATGTGGGCTCCGCAGATCAAACCCATTGACGGATTATTGCTGATGACACTGGTAGATGGAAAACTAGCGGAGAAAAACGCAGAGCAAGGGCCTCTGTGGCACACTGTGCAATGGGCGAGCCCCATAAAGGGAAGCTGTGGTTCGATCTGGCCCAGGGTCCAAGTTTTGAGAATGTCTCAGCATCGTTGTAGTTGATCTCGCATAACACTTTACCGCGAAAATTGTAGTAGACAATAAATAAAAAAGTTAACATCGTGATTTCGACTGCACACCAGCCATTAATCTCAACAATTTTTGTGCAGTGCATAATCTGCAAATACAAATCTGGGTTAGGTTGTCTTGATCTCTCATCTCCTAGGTTTACGGCTCATCATTGCCGGAGGAGTTTTCTGAGTGTCCAATTCAATTTTTTTTCGATTCGTCCTCTACAAAGTCTTCTGAGCCAAGGGTCAACACTTTCAGCCGGAAGTTCAGCCAAGAGTAAACCTGTGTTAGAAATCACATTTGGAAAGCACTAATGATCTCACAAAGCCCTTGGAAGTCTTGCAACATCTATGGAAAAAATTTTGTATTGTATTGATATTCAAGCATCATTAGCTTGGCCGAAGGTCAAGCAATAAAATGTAAGTATTCGTTTGTAACACTCAGCAAAATAATCCTCCATCCAACTAGAAAAAGAGAACGAATACGATTTGTCAAACTCACGATAGGATCTAATGTCTTCGCGGACATGTAACCTGTCTGACCCGTCCTCTCATTTCTCGCCAGAATATAACATTTCTCCAGTGGATGTATTTCCGTTATAACATCACCCCTCGAAGTGCTGGAAACAAATGCTCGGAATAAACCCAGTGTTTGCTCGAAGATAAAAATTCTTTAAAAAGGAAATGAAATACTTAGTGACAGATTCGAACGCTGCCTACAGTTTGACAAAATATTGATCAAAATCTCCTTCTGAAAGCACACAATAACTAATTATAAAAGGATCAGCCAAAGAAGCCCAAGTCAAATTTCGTTACTACGAAGCACTGCATGCAAGCACTCTGAGAATATTCTAATGACCACTAAAATACTAATCGCTTTATTAAGAAATATGTGTTTAGCCGAAAAGAGTACCATTACAGTAAGAATGGTTGAAAGCTGAATTATTTCCACACACTCTATTACTTATGAAGACGCTCCTGCAGTACTACCTCGGAATTCCGCTGCGAAACCAGCTCGTTCAGCATCTAACACAACAATGAGGACAGAAGTCCGCTGAGCCTCAAGTTGCGACCGTCTTTACACCGGAACTCGATTACCTCTGCGGATGACAGTTGCAATATAACGAAAGAAATAGAAGAAATATTTAGCAATAGCGCCCATAAAACATGGCTGAGAGAAAGGCAAAACGAAGGACACGTATGATGTGGAGATGAATGAACACGTTAGTCCACGGAAAGGATAATAAAGAGATTCGCTTTCTGCCGAAAACAACTGCAATCTGGAGTTTTGCAATTATCTCAGCATGATTGTAGTTGAAATATTTAGTATTTAACGTTATGACTACTTTTCATCATAAAACACTGATATGGGAAACAATACAGGTAAACGGACTAACTTTAACTCATCCTTTGCTCCAAGGTCTTCACAATTTGAAAGCGATAGAAACCGTCGCGCATGTGCATTGTGATGGACCTAAAGAGAGAGCAAGATAAGTTAAAACCGAGCTTTAATATTGTTAAATAACTTATAATATCATGAATACACTAAAGTAAGAGCATTACTTTGCTAGCTAATTAACTGCCAACAACTTTGACGATTATATAAACAGCGGACTTCGTTGTGCAAAATTACAAAACCATAAAACTCTCTAAAAGCTTTCGGCGTTGATCAACCCCTGAGGGATGCACCATGCATTCGACTTCATTATGCATCGTTTCGAGGTGATTGAGTGCATATCCGGCCTTTACAATGACTCGTGGGGGCCTACCAATGTATCGAATCAGTGCTGCTATACTCCTAGACAAGTCTGGTACCAATTTGCTAACCCTGGAAGGATGGAAGGTTTAGTACGAAATGGGCGCGGGAATCGATCCCACGTGTATGTTGCGGGGCGCCTCGGACCACTGCGCCACATGCGCTCTTAATAAAACGAAACCATAACTGTTAGAAATTTCTATGAAAAACAATGAAACATTCATCAATGTCTAATTTGTATAAAGAAGACAACAGATTTTCGAGAACAATTACCCAAAGAGAGAATTGCTACCAATTTTAGTTGACTTTCCTACCCAAGATAAAATGTAGGTTTCACAAAACAAGACAAAAAACGGTTTAAAGTAAGAGAAGCGGCCACAGTGCAAAACTCTAATTTGAAGAACTGACTCATACCTGCATAGCCGATTTAGCTAAATTTGCTAAAGGGGCATGAATGGGTTCAGCCACATCCACCATTTCGCAATGATGCCTCACAGCCTCAGATAACGTGGCATATTTCCCCGCATTCAAATAGAAAAATCGACCCAGTTGATGTATTCTGAAAACAAATATCTAGAATTACAAGAGATGCTGCTCACATGCTAAATACTTAGACAATAATTTTACATTCGTTACTGCAAGAACAGGTTAACGGAATAATTTAACCCTTCACATATTCGTGTGATAGAGAAACAACGATCCCTTCACAGGTTCGCGTTAAATATAGGACAATTACAAACCATTATATATGACACTCTCTAACCAATCCAATGCCTGCTGTTTAAATCAACCACGATGATAACAATTAACTCACGGTAAATGAAGTAGTAAATTATTATCGGTCACACATGAAAGAAAATATCGTGTTGGACCCGCTTTACGCACGAGAAAGCGACCAGGTTTGGCATCTTCGAGCAATACTTCGGCCTCCGCCTGCGAAATCTCGCCATGATACCAAGGACGGCCCGTATAATCTGGCGGCGTAGCAAGTTTAACCTTAAGCATTAAGCAAGCTCACTTCTGATTATAGTAGTATCAACTTAACATGTAGAAAATCGCCCAAAATGGTGCATTGAAATGGACTAAAATCCATGTTGACCAGAAGTGAAGAAGCATAAAATATTCAAATGCGCTATAATGCAATAGATCCTAATGATATAAGAAGACGAACATAGAAAAACTCCACAGTGTTTTCTAACTTTGGAGTGTTTGACTTGATAGATAACTAGCAAACAATTAATTCATTGAAGTGCTGCATAAAAGAAGAAACAACACTTGTAAAACCAAACAAATGGAATAGTAGGGTGTAATCAGAGCTACATGAGCTTTTTTCAGTCTGAGGAAAGGGAAGACGAACATTTACCAGTGAAACTGAACCCTGGTAATGAAGAAACTTATGAAACGAACTTGTAAACGTGAACTTGACGACGAAGTCGACTGCTGCATAGATGAGTCGTCGTGATCATCTAGGCATAACGACGTGGCAATCTCATTGGTTGGGAGCATTTTCCTGCGCAATCATGTTGTTACGCTTCCTATCATTTTACAGACTCCCTAAAGCAAGACTTAGAAAGTAAACTGATAAGTGTTCCTTCCGAAAAAGTTAGTCCTTCGATCATTAAATAACAAATCAGTTGCATCCAATCTAAAGGCAGAACATCGAAGACCATGTTTCTCCTAAACAATGGAGTAGGACAATGTTAAGTGATCAAGAGACTTACTAGAACTCCAAATTAAGCCAGATTATAGCTTATTTAATCGGTTATCAAAATCTTATTTATTAAGGTAGTTCTCTGACTATTTACGTCAATAGAGATCCAACGAGCGATACAGCAACAGGAATCTGAGAAAGATCGATAGGAACAAGAGTTACGAAAATTATTTCTGCTTCATAAGATAACTTTCAGAAATTGTAACATCGAAAGGACCAAAAATGATGTTGAAAATAAGAAATCGAACCAATAAAAGCAAGAAAGAGGTTAGCATGGGAAAAAAGTCGCAAAACTTTTAGAAAGGATAAATTTAAACCTTGAAAAGAATTAAATTAAGGCACCTAATACAAAACCTCCTGGGTATCAAGATAGATTAGAACTGAAGTCCAAGACTAGCGCTTAATTCAAAAAGGAGGTAAAAGTAATCACAGTAACAACAATGGCAACAGTACCGGTCTGTAAGGAAAAACACTTAATCAAGGCATACAAAATCAAACTGAAATAAAACTGCTGCTGAAATTGACTAAGAATCTAGAGAACGTCAAACTCTTAATAATACCTCGTTAATCATTCCAGTGGCTTTGGCGGTCTTCGATAGATTTCCTTCTTTTCTGAGTCGTGCAAAAGCTGTCAAGTAGGACTTCCCCACTTAAAGTGAACGAAGAAAAATACACTTTTCCAATGAAAACCTTCAACATTGTGCGCTTGGAAAGACTAAACCAACTGGTAGCACGATAATCCCCGGCAACAGGAGTCTTTCTATATTCACGGATAGCTTACACTCTTTCAGAAAGAAACTTTAGATTTCATGCGCTTACTAGAGTTGACTCCAAACTCATATGGAAGTTATTTAATTAAAAATTTTTCCAACGAATACGATGTATATAGTGAAATATGTATGGAGGAAAGCACAGAAATGAATTGTCATTACATGCTTTAATATATGCACACAGAGAGTAATTCAAACCGCACCCACGCGACTACCAGCCACTTGGGACGCGCCACGTATACTCCCGAATCACTGATCTCACATCCCACGCACGATGAACATCAATAATTAAACGGAGGCATAAAAAAACCCGACTGGTATAGCAGAGAAGAATATTTTAAAAGAAAAGCAAAGGTCGTGAAGAAAGTCACAGAGTAGTGGATGGCATAAATCGGATACAACCAACTGATCCATGGCACCGAAATGATTTCATTATATCAACAAGGTTATTACAGGAAACCAATACCAGGATGAACCACCGTCTTGGCATCGAACTAGTCGCATGGTGCAAATCTCCCTCTGACCCACAAGGGCGGCGACTGCATGCGGTGGGTGGCCGTTTGCACGACCTGCGGCAAATTTCGGCTAGGCAGACCTCGGGACTCCAGGGAACCACGACAGCTAAACCAGCGAAACATCGAAAAAATGGAAACTATGCTGGGGCCCACATAACCAGTGAAGACAGGCCATCCAAGTATTCAAGCGAATAAGTATAACAAGGTATCATAAACGATGATCAAACTGCGTGGCCGAAATTCTCATGATGCCGACGCAAATTAAAACACAAAATTATTATACAAAAAATTTACGAATCCTGTTTCCAACAATGATTCCCGAACACAGACCAGAAATGCGACGACTACAACAAATCCTTGCCACTGGAGTCTTTGAAGGTAGAATGCAGACGAGGCCAATCTATTCCCTCATGGGAAGGATAGTAGACTAGGATAGACTTAACCATATAATCTAGAGACATAAGTGACTCGTAATGATTAATATGGATCCACAAAATTTTCCTTGTTATACATCTAAAAACAGGATTACGAGTTTCACAAAAAACGATTTCAACGCGTTCTTTAAATGGTGACTTACCCAGCCTTTACGCTCTTAAGAAAACCAATGAACTATCAAATTTTACCATCAACTACGGTCATCGGCTCTGAAAAAGACGAAAACGTCGAGACGTTAGCCGAATAAACATCCTTATCAACCTCGTGTTAGCTCAACAATCCAAGAAGGTATTAATTATTACTACCGAGCTTAAATGATGGTTCGTTCGAAAAACAATAAAGAGTGTTCACGATTGAACAGGACAACCATACCACTGGACCGACCTTCATATTCTCAGCGAGTGTAACTTACCAAGAGACTTCATGAATGCTATCTGATGCGCATAACAGCATTCACAGAAACCACAGAAAACTCCAAGATTGGTCAAGTTTAGGGGAAAAGTCTGAATAAACACTAAATATAGCTTACTATCAAAATCCGAATAGATTAAGTGCGTAATGCGAAGTAATGTAGTGCTCCATGACAGTAATTGATATCAACATCAAAAATAATGAACATCACAAATAATAAGGACTTCAGCATGTCGAAGAACAAATCGTTCATGGCAGTACCAGTGCTTTCTCCACCAAGTGGCTTTCTCCTAGTGTAGAACACATGAAATGCTAACAACTTACCATTATCCCATGCGATAGAGAAGCGCAGTTCTACCTCAAATTTAAAGCATACTGAGCGCACTTTGGCCCAGAGTTATATTCATAACTGAAAGGTTAGGCTCATAAAAAAACAACAAACTAAGTACACTTGAAGTAAACTCTTATGACAAATTAGATAGAAGGAAATGATTACCGAACGCCATCACTACATAGGGACAGATTGAAGGGTCTTGCATACAACATCAACCGTCTACAATCCGAAATAAGCATATTTACAAATGGATGTAACCTAAATAGTTAGAAATACGACAGAAATGACAATCAGTGACGAAACTGATAGGTTACAAGTTGGATATAAATGAGGGTCCGCGGACACACTATGTGGAAGACCGAGCAGTTCGACGCGACGTTCCAAATCGCCACCTCTTTCAACAACGACAACAAACTAATAAAGAAGTAATACTAGCAATACCTTGTTTTCTTGATGAACAGACACAAGGTGATTATTACACTATTAATCCACGAAACCATTCAACGGTCTACCGGCTCATCGCGGCTGGGAGCTGTTTCTAGGTGTCGGTCTGAGTCGCGCATCGGGGGATTCGTCCTCTGGCAGGGTCTCCCATGTTGAGAACGAGTCCAGCGTTTTCACCATTAGGAAGCCCAGCAAGGGGTTAAGGAATACCAGGATCCACCACCGTCCTGGTATCAAACTAGCGGTGTGGTGGCAAATATCCCTCTGATCCTCAAGTTCGGCGACTGTCTGTAATGATGACGACCTAGGGTAGATCTTTGTCGGGCTGACCTCGGTACTTCAGGGAACCACCGCACAACCAATGAAGACGGGCCATCCAAGTATCCAAAAAAATATCCACAGTAGCTCAAGTTTCGGCGACATCGCCTACTTCAGAGCCTGGAAAGCTCAAAGTGACGAGCAATCTACCCAGTCGAACACTTGTTTTCACAACCCAGGTAAAAGAATTCAACCCAAAACCAAGAAGGAATAATATCACTAGACCCATGGGTCCACCAAGTGTTTGCGATAAAAACTACCTTAACATTGCTCACTAACCACGCTTACTGCATAAAACCTAACCATTACTTGACCTCCGGGAAAAGAATGGACAATATTAAATCCCGCGATCGGTTTCCTATCAAGATCGGCATTGATGAACTGTCAATATTTTGAATGGCTCTGAAGAAGGCGAAACCCACCAAAACGTCAGCTTTGCCGCAATAAGCGATAAGGTAATGCCTCATGTTTCCTCAACAAGAGTACAGAGAATAGTTCATTCAACAACAAAGTAATGATATAAATTTTAAATATCGAAGATACTCTTCTACATAATTATTTGAAAATGCAAGTTCTGGCAACGGTCCAGACAATTAGAACTGTAGTCGATAATCGTGTCGGGGCCAACCAGTCCGTCCGGCTTGCACGCTATGAGTGGGCGGATCACTTGGCTTCTAGTATTTCTGCGGTCTCAGCGCATCAATAGTGCTGGTGACTGGATTTAGTGCTGTACCCAAAGATCGGATGATGTTACCCAGTTTTCGCTAACAATAATCTTCGACGTTCTGCTTGTTTCTGGATTGGAAGACCTCGTTCTCTGGATTGATCGCATCGCAATGTCGAGCACATCTCCGCGAAAGTTCGCCGAGAAAATAGCGATTATGAATCGGAAGCAGAGCGAAGACATGAGCACTTTCGATAGCATAATGCGTGAGGTGAGTGCCGAAGTGAATCATTTTCTCTTCTGGATTCGATAATGTGCTTGGAAATGATGTGTCACACGAGTTACTTTTCGTGTAATAGCCATTTCCATCTAAATTTAGCGCCTAAAACGTAAATAATTTGCGTTTCTATAACTGCGAAACTAACAATAGTTGCTAGGATATGTTCTAAGATAGGTTATAAGCCGAATGATGCTGAGCTTTTTGTAGAACTTGCACTCCAGGCTAGATTCGAACCCGTGATTACCCTTTCCGAGATTCACGTGCTACCTACTGCACCACTGAGGCTTTTGCTTTATGCCTTTTTCTCAGCTAGTGCTTCTACCTAACGCGGCCATCAGTAGTTATACGTTAACGGGAATCATCTGGGTGCACAAATCGGCGTTTAGCCCTGTTAAGTTAAGAACGTAGTTCAAATTAGAATGTAAGCTTTTTGTTTACTGCCTACTGCGATTTTTCATGCAGGGTATGATGTGAAATGCAACCACAATGATGCTGAGATATTTGCAAAACTCGACCCCAGGTCAGATTCGAACACGCGATAACCTTTCGGGGGCTCACGTGTATTGAATTTCAATTAGTTCTAACTGTAATACCAACAGCAGTTACTATTCTGAAATAGTTTTCGATTTTAACGTTCTAGCCACTTCTTACTACCGTACCGTTTTTTATAAGATTTGGAGCGAATTTGTTTATGTAGGTTTGTAGATTACGTCTGACTACTTACTGATCTTTCCATTTTCAAAACACATTAGCTGAGGAATACGAATTCTAGGTACGTCAGATTACGAGTAGCTCGGAAACGCAAACTACATCGCAACCATCGACGTCACTATGCCCTCCTCAGTGGAATCCAATTGGTGGTTCGTTACCAAACGTCCACCAAATGCCGTCATATCATACTGACTGGGGTGCTAGCTGGATCCCCACCACGCAAAATGCTCATCGAAGTCGATCTTCTGATCAACACCCGATACTATACCATCCATACGGGCGAGGACAAAGATCCCCAGATCGAGTGCCACCTCTCGGTCCGCATTATGTACCGTATCCAAATCCACAGTACCAACTACTCGCTCCGGAGCAGTGGAATCAGTGAGTTCTTATAAGTATGTTTCTGTATTTCCTTTCTTGTTTTTGCGTTTTTTGATTTTGGTAGTTGAGATTGGATCTGTTTTCGTCACTGAAGTAATATCTTTTCCCTTTATTCCAAATTAGATGAACGCTTTCACTTGCGAAGCACGGTTGTATCTGCTACGTATTTATCGTTGATATTCTGGACTAAGTGATTGGTTTCGCTGGTCAACATCATTTGGAGCCTGCCAACTTAACTCCTGAGTAGATTCCAGGTTGTGTTTGCCTACCTCTGAATCTACTTTTCTAGCGGTGGATTTCGTACGGACTTTTGTTGACTCTTTGAAACAATAAGCCCAGTAGTGCCGTCTCTATTGCTTTTAGCTGTAGTTTTCTATGTGATCCATTTCATTCTTCTAACGTATGTGGTTCGTTGGAGATATACCAGCAGTTCTGTTAGGGATACTAAGGAATGGCTAGGATTTGATTTTTTCAAGGACTTGAACTCACTACTTTTCTATTGCGATTTAAGCTTCCTTTCTGTGTAGATTAGTAGTTTGCTTATGAAGATTCTGTTTCACCGTAGAATATAAGTGCATTGATTCGTAATATGTTTGCGCACGAACGGCTTTTCTTACGTACAAATTTTTTATCTATATGGCTCATTAGCTTGGTTTCGTTTTAAGAATTCAGAGTTACTTCGAGTCACATCTTAAGTATTATTCAAGCTTGGGCTTAAAATTCGTTACAACCTCTTATTCACACTGGTCTGTGCTCACTAATGCAAGAGAACGTGGTTAGTACGTTGTACAAAATTTCGTTTTAGTCTTCGTTGTAAGTCGCAAGACTACGTAACCCATCCCAGGTTGACAAATAGCGTAGCCGGATTCAAGTGTGGATTCTCTATTACTTCTGCATCAGTTGGCACCACTTACTATATACGTGCTTGCCTATGTTGATTTGTTCCAATGAGTTGTTTTCGGATTTTCAAATGGACTTTCCAATTAGATGATACAGCATGCGTTCTAAGTTTAATGTAATTGTCGCTATATGGATCGGTTTCTTTCCCTAAATTTAGCCTTTTACTGGGTATCATTTTAAGGTGTTAATACCGTTGAATTAGAGTTACTTCATCGAGAAAGAAAACGCTGTCGTGTTATGGTAACTAGTAAGTAGTGTTTTCACATGAACTGAGTGAGTGCGTTGTGTAGTGCATCATTTTGGGATTTGGATCTTGTGTCATTTTCCTGGGAGTTGTTCGCCCCGTACGGCCCGGTAACTTCATTGAGAGTTGAAAAGCACAGTTCAATGGGCGGTGAGTGCTGTAACGTCGTTGATATTAGGTAATGGGTTCACTGTTTGCAACTACAAGAATTTCGTCCTTTTTTAAAATTCGTTTGCTTCCGGATTAGTTATGTGTCTGTTTACGAGCTTTGGCTTAAAAACTTAAAATCTGCTCAGAACTGTTACTAAGAACATATGAATTAACCTTGATGAAGAAAGGTTGCTAATAATTATGGCGCGATTGTTTTTTAATTATCGGTTTTCTACCGGCTTCCTACTCATTTGCTATTCATTAAATTCTTGTTTTTTGTGAGCGTTTGCAATCTAAATGACATGGCGTTTAAGCTCATATCATTTCCAAAAAGGCACAGAGCTTTCTGAAGGTCTTGAGATGGTGATATTTTTGGAGGGAGCGGAGCTTCACTGGAAAAAGGTAATCGTAGGTGGCGGCATGAGTCAGCTAGTCCATTGGTGTATTTACTTTAGAAAGAGTAATTATGAAGACGTAAGAGCGAATTTGTACCGAAAACCTGTGTATCTCAAGCCGTGACTAGCTGTACATTCAAAAATGCTCTACCATAGAACTGTTTACGCGGCTTTATTTTCCCCATAATTGAGATATTTGTTGTCGCAGCTGGAAATCAATCTAAGAGTAGAACAATGCCAAAGTTCATCGCTACACTTGAGGGAATGTGATCACAATGTGAGGGACCTTTGCCCGATAGATATGGGTGATTTCTTATCTAAGTGTAACGATTGTTCAGTTCTTGTGAATAAAGCACATGAGCAGGTAATCAGTGCGTGAGTGCGTTGTTTATAAAAGTCAGCTGTTGAAATAGTGATAGAGATCCAGTCTGACGATATCTGTTGTTTACTCTGCCTTTCGAACAGTTTTTCAAGTTTTTCTCTTATTACTGTTTTGTTTATTGAAGGAACTTAGAACATTTACTATCGAAATATTGCAATCATCAAGAACTTGTATACTTGGATGACCCATCTTCTCTGGTTATGTGGGCCCCGGCACAATTTCCATTTTTTAGGAGTTTTATTGGTCTGGCCATTGTGGTTCCTTGAGCCTCGAGATCAGCCTAGCGAAAGTCTACCCCGGGTCGTCACCACCACAGGCAGTCGCCGCTCTTGTGGATCAGAAGGGGATTTACCACCATGCGACAAGTTTGGTACCAATACGGTGGTGGATCTTGGTATTGGTTTGCTTTTACCTGGATTTCCTGATGGGAACACCGGACTCCTCAGCTTGGGAGACCCTGCTGGAGGGATGAATCCCCTGATATACATCACAGCCCGACACTCAGGAACAACTTCCAGACGAGGAGGCGGTAAACCGTTGCAAGGCGTCATCAGAGAGGCACTGTTAGTCAAATTTTCCTCCTTTCTATTTCTAAATATTCTTCAGTACATTATTAATTAATTACTGAGTTCAGCGAAGCATTGTATATCATTTAATTCTCATCTAAAATACCTTCTGTTGTTGATATGCTTGTCGTATTAGATCATTTCTCTTTCCATACTTTGAACATGAAAACATTTTGTCAGTGGCGAGGAGCATGAGATATCCGGCTTGTCTACTGACTTTCGTCAACGGTTTTGAATCCAAATTTAAGGGCTACCGTTTAGATCGTCCATGGTTTTCATATTGTTTTCCTAAATTTGTACAGATCTTCGTCTTTACATAAGAATTATTTGCTACCTTATGAAACAGTTTTGCGTTGAGTGTGCAAATGATGAAATGGGCTTCGGGATAGATGGGTGAATCATGTGGATGTGCAATATATTGTAGCGAAATATCACCTAAATTGTACATCAGTGTGGCAGCGAATTGTTACGAGATCGACTAAATGCTTTTCGTTTTGAAGAGCTTCATAATTTTACTCCTAAAATGTCATCGTTCTAGGCTATTCTTCTGAATTCTTACATTGTCGAGAACTCACACCTCTATGAGGTGTGGATAAGTTCCGTCGTGTAGTAGGTAAATTTGCTTATCTTTCGAACGTCTTTTTTGTACGGAACTATCTAGTTTACGAATTCGAATATTGACCCTATAAGCATCAACTTTTGGCATCAAATCCGGCTGTTCTCCAAAATACAACCAATGGCGTTTGCATTTATGATCCATATAGGTGATCTAACTTCCATCTTCATTCTTTTTTATAAAGTACAAAATCTTTTTGTGAGAATCTCGTGGTATGACTTAGAAGGTGCGTTGTCCAACTCAATCAGAATTAGAAGGTGCATTGTCCTACTCAATTAAAATTTTGAATTAGCAGAGCTTCCTAACGTGATAAATGAAGGGTGTGCAAAAAATTTCGCACCAACGTATTACGTGGAATCTGTTGATAACTCGGAAGATGGACTTTCTATGAACCTCGACATAGTAATGGATATATCTGTGTCTTCTTACGAACTGGTTAGTATAAATGTTTTTGTTTTAGTGTAGATGTTATTATTTTTTGTGCTCGTATTGTTGTTGTTGTCTTTGTTCAATGGCTGATGTTTCGGCGACTTCGCCTTACTCAGAGCATTGCGTTTGAACAACCCATGTAATGATGATGATGAATTCATCCATCGTGAACAACACAGAGGTGGTCCAACGGCAAGGCTCTGAGGAAAGCTAACTCACCGAAACCTTAGCCATTGAACAAAGGCAACAACCACAATATTACATGGAATATTCTATGTTATACCACAGCAAGGAGCGCGTGTAGCTCAGTGGCTACAGGCAATCTGTTATACAAATGAGATCGATCCCACACAGCAGGTTCACCAAGCTTTCTATCTCTCAGGGGTCGGTAAAATGGTAGCCGACATTCCTGGAAATATAGAAGCACTAACTGTATACATCGGTAGGCCACTGTGAGTCATTGTATAAGCTAGTTATGCACGCATCCACCTCTAACGATTCACAATAAACTGGAGTGCATGGCGCATCCTTCAAGGATTGATCAACAGCAAGAGTTTTGTCCTTTATCCTGTTATAGTACCTCGATATGTCATAGTGACATTGTATGCATTCACAGTTAGAGTTTGCTTAAAGTTTTTTGTGACTATGCTGTAGTAAAATTTTCCTCACAAATACAACCTCAAATATGACTCAACGTTTGGGCAGAGATTTCATGAGTTTTGCTTTCAAGTAAACAGATTATTACCATGAAATTTTTTGAAACTATGTGGTGATTTGATCAGTACAAGTTACCGTTTTTCGATACTAATGGATGTTACCAGTTTGAACTGCTGTTTACTTATCTAGTTTTTCGTTTTTATCTTATTTCTCTCTTATCAATGGGTTATTTTGTCTACGATAGTAATGGCGACTTGGTTCTATCGTAGACTAAAGCCAACCGTTTCTTTTCTATCAGGAGACGTATAACTTAGAGTGTGTTGCACTTCCAGTCTGTGGTGGATGTTTATATCACAGTCCTTGACACTGTTGTACTTGGACTATCTAGCAGCGTCTCAGATCTTTTACTATAATTATAGCTTAGAAATTTGGTTTATCTCTCTTCATATCAGTAATTATATCTAAAAACTATGCCTACAATGTCATTTTAAATGACGCTAATTGCACTCTCAACCTTGCTGTGTAATACTTGGATTGTTGAAGTGTATATAACGAGAAGAATAGCAGCATAGTGAAAATATGGGGTAGGAATCGTTTGTTCATAGTTTTATTTGATCCTTGTTTTTAGGATCATCTAACACTGTTTTACTGCTTACCACTGCTGCAAGTTTATTTAGCCTTGAGCTCTCTGCCTTGAAGGCCAACCAGAGTATGCGCTGTACAATCTGCCCACCTCCGTGTCGAGTTATTCTATTCTTCCATTTTGCGCTTTCGAATAAGGTTCTAATTAGCTTCGGAGGCGTCCTTTTGCCAAGCGCTTACTTAACTCCACGGTTTTGAAGTTTTTCTAAAATTTCAAGGTTTTCATTGAAATGTCAGTATAGTCCGCTGTGAAGTGCTGCATCGGAGTTTGGTTATCTACATATATGATGGGAACTATTTCAGTCGATTCTGACGCGGTTTTACTTTCGCTTACATACCCTTCCTTTATTCAAGTACAACCGTCGTGGAGAGCAACAACGGTGTGTAACTGCTACTTCATCTACATCAAATGGGCGAGGTGCTAGTTGGCAATACCCTATGTTTACTCTTTTGGGCACTTTATAGATTCCCATGAGTAAATTATGCACTGAAGGTATTAACCTGCTTTTAAAGTTTTATGGAATATTTACAATATTTTTCTAATCCTTGCTATTAGATAGCGTCATCTCCCAACAGTTTTAACCGCCTCATCGTGGCTGGGAGGTGTTTCTGGGTGTCGGACTGCAATGTACAACGGGGGGATTCGTTCCCCTGGCAGCGTCTCCCAAGCTGAGAAGGAGTCCGGCGTTTTTATCAGGAAGCCTAGCTAAGAGTAAACCAATCGCAAGATCCACCACCGTTCTGGTATCAAAGTCGCATGGTGATAAATCTCCCTCTGATCCACAACGGCTGCGACTGCCTGTCGTGGTGACGACTTGGGCCAGACTTTGGCCAGGCTGACCTCGGGACTCCAGGGAACCATAGTAGCTTAACCAGCAAATCTCCGAAAAGTGGAGATTATGCTGGGGCTCGCGCAACCAGTGAGGACGGACCATTCAAGTATCAAGTAATGTGGCGTCAAGCACTGTCTTGGGCACTATTTTTCGGTCATACCTCATTCTCCATCTATTCGTTCTCATGAATTGTGATATCTATCGAGTCGAAAAAGGTGCACTTTCGTTTCTTGCGAATTAATCTATGTCTGGCAAAATGATAAATAGAAAATCTCATCAAGCATGCGTAATAAGATGGATGCGCACGATGTACTTTGCCGGCTTGATGCGGAATTACCATCCGATTCGGCTTCATTACAAGTGTATGATGGTAAAAGGCGATATTGTAGGTATAAGGACATAGCGAATGGTGGGGATTGTTTGCAATTCGACTTTTGCTCTGAAATTGATTATCAGAACGACGATAAAACGCTCGGTGTTGATTTATGCGTTAGGAATGCATCATGCTATTTCGGCTCCACTAAAAATCGTAGAAGTTCGCGCCTAGCGTGTAACATTGTATGTGACTTGTGGAAACATACCAGTGCATCGAGTAAATGTTTTATCTTTTAAAAAAGTACCAATTTGACGAACCTTTACCTGAGTCTAAAGGATTGGAAGCTTGACTATCCCTAGGCAAAGGTTCAAACCAATTGCCATGTGTAAAGCAGTATCATCTCTAACAGCTCTGTCACACGGGCCCTAATATTATTATTTACTATTGGACTACAAATAGATATTTTAATTTTTTCTAGCCTATTTGACATGTTTTTAAAATTTTTCATTAGGCAAAATTATGGTTGTTCTCAGTTGGTTAGAAACAACCTGTTCTTGTCTGTTCTT